AGCGTCTAATTGTGCTAATAGACAATGCTTGTTCCCCTTTTACATTCACCAACTCTTCGTGGATTTGAGTCACATTTTTCCAAGAAGCGAAAATAAAGTACCGTTGGTCCTTACGGCTCATTTTTTTCCAGTCGGTTTACTATGGTTTACAAAAAAAATAGTTTCTCGACAATGAGATAATAAATTTGCCTCTACTTTTTTTTCATTTGTTACATGAAAGCATGTGCGTTTTATGATCATTCCAATTTTTAGTTAAATTGACGCAATCTCGAGTTAGAGAGCCACACGCAAAACTTTTCAGCCCCCCACGTAGTTCTCAAAAATTGGTGCGCTGGTTTTCTTTAAGAATTCTTTGCAAATGACGATTATCTCGCTCTGTAATTACACGTGACCTGCCACTCCGAGGAGGGCGTATTTCACAATTAGACTTTTTGTAGTAGAATTTGGTTTATTTAATGCAGCAATTTTCCCGATTATACACTTCCAATCATCGATAATAAAAATCTCTTCGTTGAGTGGGTTTAGTCATTTTTAAGAAAGTTTAAGATAATGATTTTGTTGTTTTACAAAGCAGAAATAATGTGCAATTCAAAAAAAAAAGGTCGATAATAATAAGGTAGTTGTTATTATGGAGAAAAACCAATTTTTGATGATCAGCATTAATTACAAAATGAACAGATAATCACATGATGCCCCATGACTTATGATAGGCCACTACAATCGAATTGACATTTATGTTCACATAAAAACTAATTGATCGACAGGCTATGTGCCATATTCGGCTATCAACAAAAGAATTACAAATTAAAGACGGACAACTCTCCGAGTATTTTCAACTGGCTTTCTGGCACTCTGCGCAATGAGAAGCGTCTTGAGAAGAATTAGTGTTTCTATACATAGTAATCCACCGCAACGCGACGGACACTCCCAATTGCTCAACAACATGAATAATAATCATTTCAGAGACGCTCAGTATGAGGGTCGTCTAACTTACGAAAGGAGAGGACGAATGAAAAAGAAACGTTATGTAGTGTTGACAACGAAATACTTGTTGACATTCAATGATCCTAAGAGTGCATACGAAGCATCCGAGAAATGGCCAATAGTTCCAACAACAAATAAGCACATTCTTATACAATTGGATTGCATTGTTTGTATACGAGTTATCAGTTGGAATAGCTTCCGAATTGACTTCTTACATCAACCCAGTAATGGACTTCGTACTATTTTTTTCTCTACAGACGATGCGAGACAGTGGATTGAAAAACTGAAAGAATTAAACTCTTCTAATGAAAACTTAGGAAGAGCATCTGCAAACGAATTAGGTGAACGTATTGATAGTCAGTTCAAAAAGTCGCTTGAACAACGACCATTATATCGAGTGCTCTTTGCCAGATCAAATTCTATTGATACTAAATACGTTGAGGGCGCGCAACTGTCTCTGCTCGCTATTGATGAGACATGCATTTACTTCATTAGTAATGGCAATGTTAGTACAGATGGACTGTTAATTATTAAAAAAATTATTTTCTCTGGGTTTGATGATACCATTCAGCTAATCTTGCAATTTCCACTCGAACCGGCATACAGTATCCTCATATCCTCAGTTTGTTCGAAATTAATAATAACTGACATACGACAAGCAATAGCAACTCTCGCCCCCTTTTATGCCATTTCAATAGATGCACCAATCGATGTTCAGCAGCAGGAAATACACCCAACAACGGCGCTAGGCGGTAATGAATCATTTAAAACTCTTCTCAGAGCATATTGTGACGCACTGTTAATAAATTTTAACAGGATCATAATAACTACCGATGAATGGAATAATGATCCTGCTGGATTGCAAATAACTGTTTGTTCGCCAAAGAATCACCCGTACTCTGCGAAAGAACTCTTTGCTATCTTTCGCTCTCTCCGGTGTAATACATCAATAATCGAGATTAGCTTCAAGTCAGTAGATTTGTCTAATCTCGAAGTGGTCGATAATAATATCATAGACGTTCAAGAAGATCAAAATGGGATGGATTCGTTCCTTAACGATGTTACAATACTAACTAGCGAGTTATATCACCTGATTACAACGAACAGCTTTCTGATTAAACTCGATCTAACTGATTGCAACATTAAGGCAAATAATGTCAGAATGGGTACCCTAGCCGCAATTGGACTGGCGATTAATACTGGCAAAACTAGACTGGAAATGTTACACCTTGGAGGAAATGTGATAACAGAACCTGATAGAGTGGTGATTGAACAGGGTATAAGAGAAAGGGAACAAGCAATCAAAGAGTTAGATATTTCATCTCCATTACAGAATAAATCGCAGGCTGACTCGGAGAATCATGCTAAGATGAGGGAGGAGTGTGTTTTCAAAATGATTCAAGTACTATTAGAAGTTGTTCCTGATACTCTTGAATATTTGAACGTGTCCAATAATGAGTTGAGCAGCAACATGGCGACAGCATTGGCTGAGTTTACTGCCCTCAGAACGTTCAAGATGGCTAACATGAGCTGTACCAATGTATTCGATCTAACCCGGATATCATCAGGAGTCCTGGAAGAACTTGAGCTCAGTGGTACGTCACTCACTCCAAATAACATTGATGTGCTGAGTTCGTTCATTCGAGAAAATGGCTCTGATTGTTTGAAGATCCTTTCTATTGAGAATTGCAACGTAAATAGTGAGGAGTTCGCCAAGATATGTTCCGCAATATGTGAATCGCAAAAGCTGGATATTAAATTGAACGTTGGCAACAATCCTCTTTTAACAAATTTTGATGTTTTTATCGATATATTTCAGCAGAACAAGACACCTGCCTGCCTGTCTATTGATTTCATCGAATGGGAGAGGAGACGGTTAGTCGGTGTATTTGACGTCTTGAAACGTAATACCAGTCTAAAGTCGTTGAGTATAGCCAAGCCTATATTTAGAGATGCGAGTGGTACCGTTCAGGCAATGGATGATACCGTTGCTCAGGCTATGTCTGAGTTTCTGGCGAGGAACACGACGCTTGAAGAGTTGAACATAAGTGGGGATGGTGAAAATAAATATGGGGATAAATTGACAATAGCGTTCGAAGGATTGCCAGATGGCGGGTTAAAAGAGAATACCAACTTGAAGATTATCGACGTGAGCGGGAATGGGTTGGGTAAGACTGGAATTGATTCTTTTTCTAGAGCAATATCAGCGCACAGATCATTAAAGGAAATTTCCATTGACGACAACAAAGTAAGTTACCCCATTCCTCACGTAGACTCGTTTGTAGTGTGTAGTCGAGTGACCTAAATTTTCAAATACTTACTTGCAATTCTCAAATGCGTTTGCTGCAGATTGATGAAGACTGTCTTGATGTTATCATAGGCGCTATAATGTCAAACCCGAATATCACTCGATGGCCGCGTCCATCTAACGATCTTAAACAACTTTCTCGAGACATTCTAACGAGATTGCGAGATAATGGTTTCCATATAGCACGAATGGAAGCCGCCATCCAACTCGCTGTTGGGTCGACACGTGCTAATGAGAGAAAGATTCTTAATGATATGAGACGTAATCATGAAGAGTTGCAGACTTTAGAAATTGGTATAAAGGCAAAGTTGGATGAGCTTGATAGGAAACTAATGGATAGAAAAGCGAGCGAGACGATGTTTCTCCCTGAGAATTTATTATAACTTTGAATCTCTGTTAGAAACATCGCAGTGCCCGACTGAAGACCGGTGCCACTGACATGATGCTAACACATATACTTGTAAATTATTTATATAATGTTACGTATTTTAATTATATCTATAACACTTATAAAATATTGTCGCGGAAGGTATATAATTAATTTATTGGCAGAACAAAGCCGTATAACCACAAATACTTGTTTCGACATTCCTAATTAAATATCCTGTCAAATTTATGGCATCAAGTCGTTGTCTCTATCTTTACCTAAGAGAGCTTAATATTATAGTCATTCCAAGTATTTCTCTCAATCTTTCAAACGCCGCTGAAGCAGCTGGTCGTCTTTCGTCTAACATGCTAACAAGTCGCCACATTTTTTATTCACAATTGGGTAAACTTAAGATCATGATCTCCTATACATAAGTGATGATAAGGTCTCCATCAATCCATAATCAAAAATCGTCGATTTGGTCAATTGTGTCTGTATACGAATAGAAGATATTTATACTGGAATGTTAATGTGATATGCCTACAACTCTGACACTCTACAGTTGTACAACAATATGACACCCAATACTACTAAGACTTGTGCACGCTGTCACCATAGTTGAACGTATTGTCTATGCCAAAAAATCGCCACTGATCCATATTTTACTTCTTGCTCGAAGTTTCATTGTTCGACTGAGTAGATAGAAAAGTGGCGTGTGTGCAAAAGATACTGCATTCGTTAAGAAGAGAGTGGTGTTGGGATGCTGTGATTCTTGTGATTCTTGGTTTGATGTTGTATTGGTTGGGATCAAGCAAAAGATGAAGGGAAGGGAAGAGTGACAAATTTATGTTGTTCAGGGCTTCACGAATAAATTAATAATCGAGGTGGAATGTTTGAAGATGAATTAAAAATGAGTTATGCGACAAATTTACTGCGGTAGGAAGAGTGATTGAAAACGAATTATAATGGGCTATGAAAAATTTTACTACTAATTATTAATTTCAACAATTGAAGGTGAATTATAAATTATAATAAGTGAGATTATGCGATAAACTTTACTATGGTAAGGTAAATGGTTGGCAACGAATACTTCCGCTATTAATTAATAATAGAAAGTTGAATTATGAATGATAAATACAGTGTGTCACGAAAAAAATGGCAAAAAAAATAAATAAAAAAATAAAACACTTCGAACGCGTACATCTTGCCCAATATGGACTATTTTTGTTCGCGTTTTTTTTTTATATGTTTTGACGGAAATATCAACTGTTGTTCTTACAATCAAGTTTGATTACACAACGCGAGACTATTCTGCATTATTGGAACATCCAATGTGCGCTCAGCTAAAGAAATTCACATGGCCCATGCGTACAATTTACAACAATCTCAAAAAAAAAAAAAAAATAGAACAAAATCATGGCAAGCTTAATCGCAAAAAAGGGTGTGACCGACCAAAGAAAATATCACCAATAATCGCAAAGACAATTGGCATTTCCCCGCGAACACTTGAAACTAAGTTATTGAATAAAGGTTACCATGTCTCGCACACATCAATTTCAAGACACCTTTCGCATTTTAGTTATAACAAGAAACTACCAAAAGCTACCCCAATGTTAACTGAGGAGCATAAACGAAGACGAGTAAAATGGGCACAAACTCATTTGAATGACAACTGGAATAAGACTGTATCCACTGATGAAACAGCCTTTCAGCTTTTTCGTAATACAGTGGAACGGTGGTATAAAAATGAACGTCCTACTCGTCGAATATCGAAAGATCGTCAAAAAGTCTTTGCTTGGAGTGGCTTTTCTGCAAAAGGTAAAACTGGCCTTTTTTGCTTCTCAAGAATAATGGATGCAAAATTTTACGTCGAAATACTGGAAAATCATCTTCCAGATATTCGTATAATGATGGGAAAAGGTTGGCGGTTTCAGCAGGAGTTTTGCGTTCTTTTATTGTCTACACTTACGATTGAACGCTAAAGGTGTACGCGGTTTCAGCAGGACAACGATCCTAAGCACACGAGCCGTCTTGCTCAGTTGTTTCTTAGGGAGAATGTTCCTCAATTAATAGACTGGCCTGCGTAGCAGTCCAGACTTCAATCCCATAGAAAATCTATGGCATTAGTTAAAATAAATGTAGTTAAAAAATCGTGAGTTGGTGCGGTTTATGGTTGAAGAATGGAATTCTATTCCGGATAGAACGTTAATCAATTTAGCGGGGTCAATGATGAGCTAATTATAGAAAGTAATGGTGAAAGAATACCCTATTAAATTTAAGTCAATAAAACCTCTGCTCATAAGCTATTAAATAAAGCATAAAGCATGTTCATTGCTCTCTTCGTTGTGGCACAATGATCAATAATTCTTTTGCCGATAATTTTGTCGGGTCGGGGCCTAGCGCTAGACAAAGTATAATAATAATATTATAATCATAAATAAGGTTATGCAACTAATTTACAATGCTAGCAAAACTGATAGTTTCGTTTTATTATTACTAAGAGGAATAAATTATTTGTAATTGTGATAGTAAAAAGAAATAATAATAAATTATGAATTGTAAACCTTTTTATTTTTTGCTATCAATAATAGTTTATTTATAAATGCGACAGTAATGGTAATTTTAATAAAATAAAATTTTCAAATTTATATCGTCAAGTAAACATACATAAAATAATTTCTATTATGATAAAATGTGTGATGTAATGTCTAAAAATAAATAAAGACCGCAACAATTTAGTTTACTATCAAGATCTGACTGTGATATAGCATTTAATCATTACTCTACATATATAATCGTATTTGTATTAATAGGGAATTAGAGAGAAAGATTTTTATATTTTTTTTTTGAAATAAAAGTCAAGTTGAAAGTAGTCGTCCAGATTGAAGCTGAGAGATTTAGGAAGATATACAAGTAACAATAAAGAGATAGGAGGCCGAATGCGGCAAGATGTGAGATTAAAATTAACGATGAAGCGTTCGTTATGTTGCATGAGCCAAGTTTACTTTTAAAATTGTAAAGACATAATGATTCTGGAGGCTGGCTTAGCAATGTGAAAATATTTTGACATGGACCTCGCAATGGGATATTAATTTATGAAATTCTGTCGGTCTTTTCGTAATACTTTGCTATAATATTTATTTATATATTTATATTTATTTATTTATTATCGATTATTTGCTTTGCTGTGCACCAGCGAAATATAACGATCGGTTTGGGCTGAGGGTTTTTGCCGTAGCCGATCGAAATGGATACGATACAACTATAATTTAATTATTCTCGTCACATGGCAGGCAAAATGTCCAAGAATCTTCTTAAGTGAGGCTGTTGAGCGAAGCGGATGACTGTATGAAGAGCGGCTGAAGACGTCTGGTTGAATAAGATAATATGGTCAGTTGTTGAATTGCTAAAACATAACATTGTAATATGAGAGTACTCACAATCTTTATTGCGTCTTCATTCACGTTCTCCACATCATCACAAGGTTGATGATAACATGTATCATAGGCAGCGTTAGCGAGACCGCCAAAAATGCGCCTTTGTTTTTCGGTTTTCTTTGCGCCGGCACCAGTTAAGACACCGCCTACGTCAGCGACGGATATATCTCGTGAACAAAACTAGAATCTAGCAAGACATACTATAATTTGCTGTGCCTCTCGTAAACTTACCCGATGGAATACCATTCTCAAGAAATGGAAGAAAATCACTCCCTGCTTTCATATCTATGATTTCATATGGTTGTCTAGCTGCTGAGAAGTAATCGATAAACGTTTTCTGAATCTTAATCGATGCATTCTGCACTTCTAATGGGGCATCAGCTCCACGATGTATCTACGAAAATGTTAAAATGCATCGATTGAGTGGAAACCAAAGATCTTAGTAACTCAATACGTCAAACAAACCCTTAAACTGGGACTTTCGGTACTTACAAAAGGCACGTAATTTGGACTCCCAAGCATATCAAAGTTCAAATTCATCGCCACCGAATCAATCTCCCCCGTTTCCAGCAACTTCCTCACAAACGTCCTTGATCCCAATTGTCCCAATTCTTCAGCACCCCACCACGCAAAAATTAAATAGTTTTTAGACACAAAGTGGGCACGCTCTAATGCAAGCAGTATCTCTAACAATACTGCTGAACCAGAAGCATTGTCCACTAATCCAGGTCCATCGGGAACTGAATCCAAATGTGCACCAAGAACGATGGTGTTATCGTATGAGTCAGCTTTACCCCAGCGACAGATGACATTATAAGTGGTGGTGATGGTTAATGTGCTATAAGTACGAAGGAAAATGCGAGCAGAATGCTCATTTCTGAGCAACTGGCCTACGGTGTAAGTGGATGAGAGAACAGGTATGCGAATCGTGGGATCTACGTATAAAGAAGATGTGCCAAAAGAAAGAAGAGAGTTACATCACTAAACGGAATTGATAACGAGGAGCGCATCCGCATAGCATACCTCCTTCTCTCCACGCATATTTCCTAACTCGGGTGTATATAAGTCCTGCATCTTCTGGGGCATTATAGAATATAACAGCCACTGCTCCTTCCTAACAGCACGTACCGTAATCACAAAAGCATTAGAACTCTTATCACTTGCATTTTAATTAGCAATAGTTAGCGTGCGTTACCCACATTCTCGGCACGATAGGCAGCCTTAAAGTAAGTACATTCTCCACCATTGCCGATTAATGCAACCTTTCCCTTAACATATTTCCATTCTTTAACATCTTTACATCCGTAATGAGGTATTTCAACTACAGAAGCACCTTCTACCGTGGTAGCCACCCCTCCATCACGCATATCTATACCGAATTTGTTAGTATGAAGTAACCTTATAAGAAGATCCTATAAATGGTCATCAGACAGTGACCCTATACAAATAAGTCAAAATCATCGTACATACTCCAAAAATCGATTCCTCCTTGTAATGCTATTGCATTCTTCACACCATTGCCCGTTGGAGTGGCATTCAAAATGATATTCAATTCAGCTTCTTTGACCTTATTCCAAACAGGAACTTTAAAATACATCCTTTTAGTCTCGCATTTAGTTTTCTCTAATTGTGAGACAACATACTCTGCCGATTCGTTGTATGAATTAAGTACGGATCGCGATCCATGGCCATTATTGTTAGCGGAGGCCCCAGATTTAGCAATTTGGTCAAAAGCTTTGAGGTGGGCAAAAACATTACGCGTCAATTGACCTGGAGAAATAATATCTTCGGGAGAACCTTCGTCTGGTATTAGCAGACCAGAATGTATTGTCTAATGAGTTTGCGTTCGCATTACGAGAGAACGGGCAAGAGGTATGCGACTCAAGGTCAAGGCTTACAGAAGTCATGCGGTGCCATAGATATCAATGTTATTATAAGAACAATAAACAGAAATAAAGCAATAAGTCCATATGGAACACTCGACTTCCGAGGGCTTTCATTGTCGTTAGAGACGCTCGAGTTGGAAGTAGTTCCTTCAATTAAATAATAATGTATACTTTTAGTACAAGCGTATATTGAATGTGACAATGTAAGACTAAACACAAATTCCTCACTTCTAAAAA